GAAGGAAAGAAATTTTCTTCCTTGAGATCATATATTGTTCTGTTATTCACATAATACTTTGTTCTATATCATGCTTCCAAAATGCAAACCTTTCTAATTTGATTAGAAAATGAGTAAACTAAAGCAAAATTATATGAGAATATTTGGTGAATTATCTTTAATTGTGAGGAGCAAGGTATAGAGTGTAACAAATTCAGGCCAAAAGTCAAACCACTCATATTTTAATTTTATCTGTGCTATTAACCTTCTATGATGTTAAATAAGCCTCATATTCTCAAAGAAATAAAGTTGAGGAAAGAACAATCTCAGTGCCTTCTTTGTGCTAGGATGGTGTGAAACTATGTATGAATCTCATTGGCCCCTTACAACAGCACCATTCCCCATGTGCACGTTCATAACTGATGAAATTGGGTAACGTGCTCCAAACCTTCACTTAGTAAATGGTAGGGCAGAATTTAAATCCAGGTCTACCTGCAAAATCCATGCTGCCAGTAATTTGTTTACTTATTTTGAAAATTGGAATCTTTCCCATGATTCAAAAGATTATTGTAAAGATTCAAAGAATAAACGAATGCTACATGTCTAAAAGTTTTTAAACCAGCTGTATATTTGGATAAAATCTTTCCCTTATATTTTTCTATTCATTTCTTGACTTTTTATTCAGGATTTAAATTAAAATTCTTAAAATACTCATCACATTTTATAACAAGAAAATAGATCACAAACACTTTGCAAAGTAGTATCTAATTCCCTTTGATTTCCCATCAAGTGTGACACCCCCACACTGGGACAGCATGTCTGTTCCCAGGGGCTCTGTGCCATGGGCATTTGCATCTTTATATTATCACTACTCTAGGTCACTCTAACATTTCAAAACAACTGCTTTGTCTTGTATTTATATTGGGAGTCTTTATTAAACTAAGGTACAATTTGTTTTTAATTATTATGTCATTCCACCTTTATCTATAAGATGATATTCTAGCTCAATCAGCTATAGCACTACTATTTCAGGCAAGAGAAGAAGGTGAAAGGAGAACAAAGCAATTACAAGGTTAGTCTCTATTTTCGAAGCATCACCTGAGGCTTCATTCAGATAATTTCAATTAACTTTTATGGAAGTTACTCCGCTAAAACCCTAGCAAATGCTACTATAACTAGATTCAGTGCTCTAAAGCTACACAACTGCTGAGGAATTTATACTATAATTTTTTCCAAGTGTACCAAAAAATATTGCTCTCAAGACTGACCTATGTGACATGTTCCCCATGGTCTAATGCAAATTAGGATGACTGTGATATAAAGATCTCTGAGACCAGGGTCATAATGGAAACATTAGCAGACCCTTCACTACAGAAGCCCTGCGGGGGGCCATTAAGATATTTTATGGAAGTGCTAGTGCTAGCCCGAAAGCAAATGGCAAAGAGCAGGAAACATAAGCGACTGTAAAAAGAAAACAAAACAAAAATCCAATAAGAGACAATGAAGACATCATTAAAAACATAAAGGCAATGAAAATGCCTATGGTGTATTTTCCATTATCTGTGACCTTGGGTTTCAGTTTTGGCTCTGTGTTCATTATCAGTTTAAGAAAATTACGGCCTTAGACTCCTAGGCTCACACATTCTTTGCATGATTCCTTAGAAGAAGAGGGGCAAAGCCCTAAGCTAGCTGTCAAAAAACAATTTACTATAAATTGTAAGAGTAAAAAATCCTCTAAGAGTTTTCCCTCTGCACTCTTCATTATTGTCTCTCAAGGAACCCACCCAGGATGACAGGAAGATAAAAATTAGATTGAGGTCTTTTACACTGTTTTGACAGTTCATATCCTCCCGGTGTGTTATTTATATTAACAAATTCAGTTTTCTACTTCAAAAAGACAGCTGGTTAACAAAACGCTGTTGAACAAAAGAGATCTCTGAGCCACGGTTAAACTGTCAGGTTATCTCAGATTAGAACCACAGATAACAGTAACCTATGTTACTCAGCGTAGATTGTGATCCAAATTTGTAAGTGATTTCCATCAAGCTCTTTTTAAAAATAACAATTAAATGGGTTCCTCAACTCCTAAGGTGTTGGTGTTTAGCTTTTCCTTCTGTAGTTTTTCTTTCTTTAGCATAAAACCAATTTTTTTTGTTTGTTTGTTTGAAGTGAAATAGGTATTATTTACTCTAAGTGAAGTGAAAAATTGGGGCTAGTTTCTCAACTACTTTCCATCAGAAGACACTTCATTCCAGGTATCCCAAGGTTAAATTTGATGTCAGCACTGACTATCAGAAAAATATCCCCATTTCTTCCATTTGCTTTGCATGTATAAATTCAGTCTTTACATAATCTCTCTTCTCTCTCTCTTTTTTTTTGTAGAGCACTAAATTAAATGTGCCACGAAGTCTGTATTTTTCCAACATTTAGTTGATGTTTGATGAAAAATTTGGCAACTTAATTCTCATAAAAATGATTAAGTAGAATTATATTGGCAAGGCTCAACTATCACGTAATGTTTGGGAAAGTGGATAGGAAGGAAGATAGTGAATATGAAAGTCTCTTGCTTTTCTCTCTCTCTCTCATCAAATAATGTTTCTATGAGAATCTTCCATAATCAAAACTTAGGTCCTAAAGAATTAACCATGAAGCATATTGGGGTTTACTCTTTGTGATCAGTCTGAAATAGATTGCTTTGTTTTCCTTAGAAATAGTCACTTTCCCAGTAAATTAAATTATATTAATAATTTTTGCTCATTACCGGTAGATTTTTCCCCTCAATTTTCTACTAGTGCAATTCTAAGTAAAAGTTCTACTTTAAAAAATCATTAAATTTGAACCAGAAAATAGAAATTATTTGCAGGAATATTATATTTCTCTTCATTTTGAAAATCTTTTAAAACTGACCTATATATAGCATTCATGAGGCTTATATATGGTTAATATTTGAGGATTTCCCTTTGTACTTGATAGAATTCAGGACATGCTAACCCCAAATATGGCACTTTGGCATATTGAATATTTTAAGCTGAAGGAGTTTGAGAAAATGGCAGAAGCAGAAAGGTCACTCTGACCTTCACCCCACCCTTCTCTACTGAAACAGATCATAAAATTCTCACGTGAGAGGTGCCCTTCCTATGACCAGAGAAAAGGATGCTCCTTTTTTCTGAAGACAAAGATACCCCAAAAAGAATCCTAGCAAATCGGCCTTGCTAAATCTTCCCATTTACTACACTTACCTCATATCCTCTTTGGGGAAAGTTAATACTCTAATAAAAGACAAATAGAGACACATTCCATGGCCATGGATAAAGTTCTTGATGTTATACAGATGACGGTACTATATCTATTCTTCTATAAATTTCGTGCAAAATCAATTGAGATCTATTTAGATATTTGAGAACTCAGTAAAGTTACTTAAAAAGTTATTTCAAAAATAAAGGTCCACAAATGACTAAAACCTTAAAAAGGAAGAATAAACAGGGAGAACTTGTTCTATCAGATTTTTTTAAAATTGACATATAATTAGCATACAGTGTCATATTACTTTCAGGTACAGTATGATTCAGCAGTTGCATGCATTACCCTCTCCTCATCATGATAAGTGTATTCTTTCTTTTTTTTTTTTAAGATTTTTATTTATTTATTTGAGAGAGAGAGAGAGAGAGAAAGCATGAACAGGGCAGGGGCAGAGGGAGAAGCAGACTCCCTGCTGAGCAGGGAACCCAACACGGGGTTCAATCCCAGGATCCCGGGCTATCCTGTAAGATTTTAAGACATATATTCTAAAATGCAGGCCCTGGGTCCTGAGCTGGGTGTGCTTTCACATGGAAAAAAGACCCAGGTAAGGATTCCACTATCTTTCAGATCCCAAAGAAGGAAGCCCAAGGAAAAGCCCAAGGAAAATAATGAAATAAAGGCCTAAAAGACTGTGTCCCCACTGTGAGGTAAAGTAATTCTACACTAGTGAAAATGTGAACTAATGAAGACGTTCATTTACCAATAAGTTTAGCAACTCTTTCAACCTTGAATAATAACACATGGAGAGGCAGGCAGAGGTTGTCTTATAAGCCAAAGGGTGGAAATGATGGAGAGTCATCTCTGTGGTGAGCGTGGGAGCATGGGCATTTTGGGAAATGAGCTTCTTTTATGAAAATATTGGATCATAAGGGTGTATCATAAGTCACTGAGCCATTTTCAGACTCTTGAAAAATCAATTTGTGCCTAATTGTTTAGCATAAATAATTCTGTCATATATTGGTAAACTTAAAGCATTTGATACCTGTTTCTGTCTGTCCATCCATCTATACTGTGTGCAAACACACACACACACACACACACACACAGAACCCTAAATACCCTTTTACATAAGTACTTGTAAGATGGCTATTTACTTGCATGATGAGCAGGCTCACATTTGCCCTGAGGAAGATTAATATAGTTCACTTTGCCCAGTAGCTTTCTTTCCATTTTTTCCCATTTAATATTGATTCTGAAGTCAATAGCATAGATTTGACAATCAATAGGCACCATTTTGATTCAGTCATTAGCACTTACATAGGTGACTGAGACCTGCTTATAATCTCAAAATGTATGCTATAAGAGAACAGGACCCATGAAGAAGAAACCAACTCAAGGCCAATTTCCTGATCAAGGATTTTGCTATTGTCTATGCTTGTTCTAGAGTCTGGCTTAACAGTGGCAAAACCACTTTTTTATTTAATATTAAGACTATTCTTTCTCCAACTCAGTATGGAATTTTAACTTAATATATTAAGGCTAGATTAAAGCAAATGTAATTCCCATACTTATTCAAACTCCCTTCCTTCCTTTCCCCAATATTTCCACTGAAAGTCTACCATTCTCAGCTTGGCTGTCTGTGGAAAAATATTTTTATATATTCTAAAGTCTACCTCTTGTTTGCCCTCTCAAACATTATTTATAAAGCTATGTGAAAGCACACCCAGCTCAGAACCCAGGACCTGCATTTTAGAATATATGTCTTAAAATCTTATAGGATAGTCCTCGCTTCAACAGCACATACTCGAGAATTGAAATGATGCAGAGATTAGCATGGCCCTTGCACAAGGATGACATGCAATTCATGAAATATTCCATAGTTTGGAGTGAAATAGATAAAGGGGACTAAGAATATACTTCACTCATTAATTCAATAAATATTTATTGAGGGACTTCATTTTGCCATTCAGAGTGCTTGCTTGGTCCAATGGTAAAAAAAAAATAGGCAAGATCTGTGCTCTATGAAGTTGATGTAAAAGAAGTAAAGTAATTACAAATTGTGATGAATGAATGCTATGAAGTAAATAAAAAGGGAGCTGAGATAGAAAATAGTGGAAAGGAATGATTTTGGATGGGGCTTTTTCACTGGCAAATCCAAGTGGGGAGGACCAGGTGAATTTTTTTTTCTGATGTTTTTAACACGTTCATTTAAACTTTAGTAACAAATCATCAAAATACAAATATAGAGCAAGAATATTATTTAATGAACTAGTAGAGAGAAATTTGTCACAATTCTATCAAGTCATCTTGATGCATCAAATAAAAGTTCCAAAGTTCTAAACAAAGACTTGCCTTGATGGTATTATCAGTAATTGGCAATAGCAGATTTGGGCTGTCTCATTTTAGTCATGTGACTAAGTGAGGCATATTCCCCAGAAGCCACACCAACTAGCACCACATCAAGAAGATTGAACTGCTCTGGGAAGGAATTCCAGAAATGGGACACCCAAGGGCTAGGATCTGAGATGTTCAGCAAAGAAGCTCTCCTGCAGAAGAGCCAAGTCACTACTCTCTAATTCTTAACCAAGGACCCCAAGGGGTATATGTGTATGTATGTGTGTGCGTGCATGTGTATGTGTGTAGATAAGCCACTGAAACTATGCTCTGAAGTATAATCTGAAGACAGTGAAAATCTGACATACTTTGGAGAAGACAGGATTTCTTGTATGCAACCAAAATTATTTTAGCAAAGCAGTCATCTATAAATAACTGCATTACATCTTTCATGACTAATTTCTGTATCTAAATACTAGCCGTGAAGCACAAAAGATGCCTTAACTCATGCCAAGTTCATGTAAAGCTGTATAATGTCATTTTTGGAAGACAAATTGCATTTGCTCTGGAGCTTTGCACACACATGCGAAAAAACAGCCCCAGCAAATGTCTGTAGCCACTTGAACATATACCACCTCCTGTGGTTTCTCCATATTTCAAATGCAGCTGGGATGATTTAAAGATTATCTGTTAAGAATGCATCTAGCCTACATTTTTAAAATATAGGCTCCAGCCAATAGATGAGCTAAATGATCCTTTATTTCCACACAGCTCTTCCTACCTTTCCGAGAAATCAGCAGTGTAAATATTCCACCCTGTGTCAACTAACACAGAAACTGGTAGAGTTAGATTGCTGGAAACTTGGCATGGTGTGTAAATTCACAAGAATCCATCAAGCTCTTCTATTATTTATACTGTAAGATTTGTAGGCTGTCTGTAGAGTAACAGGTGTAGCCCCTATGGGTCAACAACCACCTGAATAATGCATGGGAAAAGGAAAGCAATACCACATACACCACAGTTTGGTATTGTTCACTTTGGGGAATATCTTTCCCTATAATGGCTGCCTAAAAAATCTTCCTTAGCAGTGATCCATACACTGTATGGTCATATGTGATAGTTAAAGCCACTTCCTTTGTGATTGACAGCCCAATGTTGAATCCTGGTTTTACCAGTTACTATTTTCTGCTTTTTTGTTTGGTCAAGACATTTTAAACTCAGTTGAATTCAGTCTTCCTCAGAAGAAGCAAAACAATATGTACATAATTAATTTCTAGTTAGCAGAACACTAGCAACTGGATTCTATTATTAACTTACATAGATGAAGGTCTCAGTTATTAGATAGAAGGGACAGAGACAGAAAGACAGTTATTTTTATTTGGAAATTAGTAAGGTCAAAACTATGTGTTATAAGAGGTTGTATATTACAATGAGTTATTGTCATTATGTATTAATTTAATACAGATTCTGGATATCATCAACAGTAATCACAAAGAATGTGTTTGTGTGATGAGGGAAAAGGAGCAGATCCATAGCACCCTAAAGTTCCTTTTGTAACTCAAACCATAGAACTAGCATGTCACAGAACCGCTGTCATTAAATATTATCATTTGGTCAGTAAAATGCAGATCTAAAAATAGCATATGGAGAGTTAAGTAGCTGTCATAATCCTCTATATGTAAAGAACATCTCATTTAGGAGGATATATATATACGAGGGATAAAGAAGGCTAAGTGAATTGACTGAGGTTTCCAGTTAGTAGTGGAGGAAAATACACTACCTACTGCTGTTAATAAGTCATAGACAATGAAAATGCAAAATGATCATAACAGTACATTCTAATAATATGATCTAGTATTTATTGAGCATTTACTCCGTGCCAGGCATGCTGCTAACTGTGCCCTATGTGCTATTGCCTCACTGAATTCTCATGATAACCCTAAGAGGTAGAAACAAATATTAGTTTGGTTTTCTAGATAGGAAAATTCAGGCTCAATGAGCTTAAGTAAGTTGTCTGTGGACACACAGGGAACAAGAGGTAAAGCCAGATCTCTTTGACTCCAAAGTTCAGAATTATGTGGCTCTTTAAATTTTTCTAGTCTAAACTTAATAGGGATTATTTGTTTCTCTGTAAACAACCAGATGAACATTTTTGCTATGATGCGTGCCCAATGCAATCGAGACAACGACATATGAGAGAGATGAATGCCTACCTTCCTCCAATAAAAGTGTTTCTTTTAAAAATAAGGGAATGAAATCTCCATAAATCTTGTCAGCTTTGTTTTGAAATTTTCTTACTATGACTCATAAGCATAAAAACCAAAGCTGCCATGAAAGATGGAGAATCCAAACAAAGTTGGAAAAAATGTATTTTTTGAGTCTCTATAATACCGTCAATTCACTTTATTTTTGTGACCTTGCTTTCCCTAGGACATAAATATCACATTTATGTCTGTGGGGGAAGTACCGCACAAGGTGAGCCACATTCTTTATAGGAGGAGTTCAGTTTTTCCCCCAAATGATATATCATCTCATTCTTAGAAATGTTATGGGCCCAGATGTTAACTCATAATCTCCCTGCTCTTTGGATTTGACAACATTACAGATTTCTTACAGAACCTCTGCTCATAGTTAAGAGTTCAAGAGCAGAGGTCCGAAGAACCATTTCTGCCCTAACCCCCGCCCCCCCACCCCAGGCTTGCTGGTTTGCTTGCCTCTTCTGTGCTTGTTTACTGGAGATGAATGCCAAGAAGGCAATTATTTCTCCTCCTAAAAACAGTCTTGACTGAGAAATGATAAACAGTCCCACCCATCTTGCAGAAAGTTGGTGAAAATCCCACAGAGATCTAGAAAAAACGTGAGCCAAGGAGCCTGAATACAAATGCTGGACATGACAGAAAAGAGAAGGAGAAGAGAAAGACTAGGGAAAGAGGGAAAAGGGGAGGGGATGGAGCAGGAACAGGAGGAGGAAGCAGTGCTGACAAGTGACACAAGGAACAAGGAAAGAGATGAAGGAAATGAGAGTAAGAGGTGCTCCAGGAAGTGAAATGAGTCTCTGTATCCTTAAAGGATTTACCATCCTGTGGTGCCGAGCACTCCTGCAAAAATCAAAGACAGAAACCTAGAGAAAACAAACATGGCAATAATCACAGAGATGACGTGGGACTTCTAAAGAACTCAGGAGAAACTACCTGAACATAAAATGGAGCCAGGAGAGGCAAAAAAGTCACTGGCTCTTGAGAGCCTGTGTTGGCAGGCAAAATTCAACTCTGCCTTATAGTCTCTTATGTATGAAATTAGATAGCTAAACCCCCAAAAGAAAAGTCAGAAGCCCCATCTGTTTTAACCAAAGGAAACATTTGATAATAAGAGAAATATTCAATTAATTGGTAAGCAAGCAAGCAAACAATAACTATAGACAGAAGGAATTCCATATAATGGACAAGAATCTCTCACTCAATTAAGAAAATACTGTTTTCTTCTTAGAGCCAGGGCAATCTATAAAATCCCTACCAATAAAATTGTAATATGCATATTAGAGAAGTTTTTATTTTAATTTTTGTGACACAGTTTGTAAAATACTTTAACAAAAGACATTTCAATCAGCAGAGAGACACACCTCCCAAAGCTCATGTTTTTGCTCAAATTTCAGAAAACTAGCATTTTAGAAATACAACTGGAAAAGTTGTAATTGAAACCGATCATTAGGCAATTTTAGGCAAAGAACTGCACAATTAGCACCTTTGTTACCAGAAAGCTAGTAAAAGTGGACTGAGGAAGTGAGAAGAGAATAAAAAGAGGATATTTTCAAAGAAAATTGTATTTCAGGCTTGACTTAAAACCGATTTGACACTGTAGTTGTACTGTATAGCATATATATATATATATATATATAACAAAATACCACAGGCCGGGTGGCTTAAACAACAAGGACTTATTTTCTCACAGTTTTAGAGGTCAGAAGTTCATGATCAGAGTGCCAGGAGGGCTGGGTTTGGGTGAGGGTTCTCTTCCTGGCTTGTAGACAGCTGCTTTTTTGCTAAGTCTTCACGTGGCCTTTACTTGGTACGTGAGTGCAGAGAAAGAGAGAAATTTCTCTCTTGCTTTTCTTACAAGACCAGTAATTCCATCATGAAAGTTCCACCCTCCAAGCCTAATCTAACCCTAATTACCTGCCCAAAGCTCCATCTCCAAATTAGGACTTCAATATATTAATTTTGGGGAAGGCACAAGCATTCATTCTATAACATATTATGTATATTTATAATCACTCATTCTATAACATATATGTATATTTATAATCACTCAATAAAAGCTAAATCCTTTTCTTTTTTCTTTTTTATATTCTTTTTTGTAAATTTTATCATATTATGTTAATCACCATAGATTACATAATTAGTTTTTGATGTAGTGTTCCATGGTCCATTGTTCGTGTGTAACATCCAGTGCTCCATTCAATACATGCTCTCTTTAATACCCATCACCAGGCTAACCCATCCCACCACCCCTCTCCCCTCTAGAACCCTCAGTTTGTTTCTCAGAGTCCATAG